GCTCAATAAGCAAAGATATAAAGTTATAATCTTAGGAGTTCGAGGGAGGTAAAATGTTACAAATAGTCTTAGCCCCACTTTGGTGGTGGGGGCGTGGGGGTTAAAACCCTTGGTATGAAGAATGGGACAAATTATTATTATTGCCAATAATTGCCGGTTAAAAAAATTACAGTCTCAGACCATCGAACCTACAAAATTTAAAATATCTAGAACGTTTATAAACAGTTAAAAACAATTTTCAGTAGATAAATATATTGCAAAGCTTGATGTGAAATCTTCGCGTCCATACCTTCATTTTGAGACCTAAATAATGAAAATTGGTGGGGTAGAAGAGCCAGACAAACTCTAAAAAGAAACACTGTATGTAATCCGAACATTTTGTAAACAAGTCAAAGCTCACTAGTTAGGTTTTGGTAAATCCTGCCACACATAAACTAATTAATATTTCGATTATTAAATTTTAAGAATACTTTAACTTTAGTCTGTAGAAAATGACAATTGAATCTAGAATTCTATGTTTCAAAATAGCTTGCTTTATTGAGTTTCTATAAACTTCTTACTCGAGGAAAAGCGTTTGTAAATCTAAATTGCCAAAGAACATGAATCCTGAACTTTGCTTCCCAGAATTTCACCTTATCAACATAATAGGCTGTCTGTATTGTACCTCCTTATAGACCCGACTAATTTAGGATCATTACTAAGAAGTGAACAATATAGGCTATATTTGAGGTTTGTTTCATTACGTCAATGTAAACGCCTTGTGTACGATTTATAATTTCCAAACCAACGTATGTTGCAAACCTTGTATTCAGTGATCATAATTTGTGATGTTTAAAATGTAATTTTATATTATCTTGTTTTAAGAAACTAAATTGTAATCATCTTTTTAGTGGTTAACTGTTTTTTTTATGATCATGAATGCACACTTAACTACTCCCATTAAAAATATATTGTTGTCTATGAATAATCATTTTACAATAAACATAACCTACTATCGGTGAAGTTAAGTATAATAAATAAATTAAAGTATTAAGTATTATGACGAATAATTAAGGATAGTTTGCGGATAATATTAAAACAAACATTACTACGTGTTGTAAAGTGTTGGTAATCCAAAAATCCCTTTTTGTCGTTTTCATCGAGAAAAAATATTCTCGACTAGCTTTCGTCAAGAAGACTTTTAAGCTTAACCGTAATGTTTATACTTTGTGATTTAACCCTTTTCAAACAATTAGCATTATTGAAATAATTCTAAAAAAGCGATACTTGCGACACAAATGCACGTTTTTTAAAGTAAATTGCAAAAAAATTATAATTGTATTATAGTTTTGAGTTAATTGCCTCGTATTTCGGTAAAATACGTTTTTTATATTCGATAAACACATAATTTATTGGAGCATAATGGAAATTTCTTTACTAAAAATTTAAAAGACTTCACATGTTTGTAAATAGATAAATAGCCGTTACTGTGATTTTTTATGTTTATATAGTTGAGAAAGTCTGTTTACATAGGTAGTTTGTTATTGGTTGTCTTTATGCTGGGCTTTTCTGTAAAGAAATTTACTAAAACCAACCACATTTACTGCTGTATACAGTCTTGTTTTTTTTTAATTGAAGCTTGTTTTCTCGTTAGTGGGTGTTTAAGTTCCTAGAAAACTAATCAAAATGAAAATAACAGTAAAATCCCCTAACATGCATGCTAATCATTAGAATGTAATGTAAACATTTTTCTCACGCTCAACTCGAGTAAAACAGTTGACTATGCTTCAACGTGTTCTTTTCATAGGAGCGATAGAGTTATTTCAAATGCGATAATGAGCTAAGTGATATTTCGTTTTTAAACTATTCACTTTTACATAACCTTTTGAATGGAAACATGAAGCGTATTAGGATTTAAACTGATATAATTATCGTGTCGTTGGTGTCAAGTAATCTTTTACTTTTACAAATCATTTTATAAAACGACAAAACTTGTATCAAGATTTGAAAACATGGCTTTAGTCATTTTAGGAAAATTAATTTTAAAGATAAGCAATTTATTTATAAAATCTTTATTCTTAGCCAACAACTGCAGTCTTGTTTTGATTTTTTAATACACTTTAGTTTTAAAATGACTTTAAGAGTATATTCTTTAATATTCTTTAAGTGTAAAGTTAATTTCCCTTATCATTCAATATTTGTACCTAACCTGAGCAGGGATAATATCTTTAAAAATGAAAACTTTTAAACTTGGATTGATGTCAATAAATTCCCTGCGTGATTTATGGTTCTAGTTTAGTCGTTAAAAGTGATATTTCCAAACAATTTAAACTTGATCAATCAATTTATATTTATAATAATTTGTTTAACGTTGTAAGAAAATAATGTATTTTTAAGTACTGTATTTAGGTTTCTATACGTTGTATAAAAGATAATTTATATGTACAGGTGTTTTATATTTAATAATAATGCGTTTGATGATGTTATTACATTTATTAGCCATTTAACAAAGTCCACCAATCAATAAACAAGCAAAGAGTATTTGAAAGCTTCTATTTATTTTAGAGTGTACTGAATACTACAAATAAAATTGACTATGTTTTTCAGAAAATTTTACCACCCTGTATACATAAATACATATTGATTATAATTGTGAAACCACTTATTTTACAATAATGTAAGCTGAACATTATTTATTTTCATTATACTCTGTAGTGAACATCTACAGTTGGGTTTTGAGTGGTTACACATTTCTAAATAATGAGCTTAATGGTTGAATTCTTTCGAATCACTGAGAGACAGCTTATTTGTTTGTAGCGTTCCAGATTGGTTCATTATTTTAAGGCTTTATGAAAATAACCTTTTTTTTAATGTAGCCTAAAAATGATTTTCCTTTTGCTTAATTTTGTCAGTTGATATATATTAAACATAACATTGAAATAGTACCGGGTAGCATGTCGAAATAATATTTGTTCCACCTAAAAATAAATTATATCTTTAGGTAATATCATTGACTATATATACCTAATATTAAACTCTAATCATCCGTCAATCATTTCTGTGACTTGACATAAAAATGCCTCAAACTAAATGTAAAAGACCCATTTACAACCAACATATACTTAAGAAATCTATTTTGTAAGTGTAAACATTATTTGATGTCTAGAATGAAATATTTCGTAATTACACTAAAGGGGTATAAAAGACCTTTGCAACAGTAATGTTATTTGGAACGTCTTAGATTTAGCAGCAATCCAATCAATTGTTCCATTCGAAAGAAAATGGTTTTTTTTGGAAAACAAGAACTTTTACTTTGCTTAAGTAAATAGAGTTTTTCATTTAATAATGCATTTTTGTCTATTTTATTCTACCAAAATGTACAGTTAAATTAGTGATGTTTTGTTTAATATTTTAACGGGCATGTTTTAGTAAGCAATAATCAAATAAAATTTAAAATATTTTTTTTTACATAACTTAATGACGCATTTTAACAGTGAATTCATGTCTTGTTAGGAAATATATATCTCAAATTATTTGATAGAAAACTTGATATTTAAGAAAATAAAATCTATAACTAAGATTATTACAATTATTATTTTACGTATTTATTACAGGTATTTTTACATGTATTACAAATCAATAGTTTCCTTTCTAAAGGAGATCTGGTTGTGTATTTGTGTAAATTTGTAATAAATACAAGCTTTTTACGTAGATTTTTATGTAAAAGAAAATACTGTAAGCTAAGATTAGCTTAAAGTCCACCATAGGTTAAAAGGACTTAGCTTAAGTCAAATACGTTCCTAAGACTAAAGCATCGTATAATCAGTTTAATGCAATAATCCAGCTTAAACGCTACTTAAGCTCTTCTATTTATACAATAGGGTGCTTAAAGGTAAGCATAAATAATATAACATTGGTCTTACTTTTAATTTGTTCATACTTTTATTCACATTAACAAAGGAAACTAATTAAATTTCCATTTTTCGTGCATACCGAGTTTTCTCTGTGATTTAAATTTAATTAAATACTGTTAAGTGTGAGATATTTGTACTATAAGTAAGTTATACAGCTGCCAATAAACATATTATTAAGTAATTTTTATTTGTGGAAATTTCGTACTTTTTCTTTGTAACAAATATGCTTTTTTTTCGTGCCATACAATTAATGAAACACTTAAAATTAGTCTATACGAGGGATTATTTTTTGGGATGTGTAGTCTAAATGTATTACTTCGGCCTAGGGCTCAAATCCCGTTAACTAAGCTATGACATTATTATCCTATGGTCTAGACGCCCCATCTTAAGCTGCGGATCCTGTGGTAAGACCAATAATGTTTTCCGAATAATATTCTTAATAATACCTTAATACGATGTATTATGTACGATATTGTAGTAAATATCGTATCCTAATGTCGATTTCCCGAAAAAAAATAAAAGTTGTGTAAAATAGTGAGATAATATATCTTTGAAATAGTAAGATAGTAAGAGTTTTGGTTTTGTATCCTCTTATATTTTCATCCTGTTAATTGAAATTGTGTTGTTAGATATGTGATACAAATTAGAAGAAGAAATCTTGACAAAAATCGCACAAAACTGCATTTTTGAACGGCCGTAATTTTAATTACAAAGTAGTGCGACCATATTTTAATGGCTAAAGACACTCTCGCCAATCCAGTGAATACATTAAAATGACTTGGGTCTTGATAGGTACTCTCGTTTTCCTGGAGAAGATTGCGTAAAATGCCATCTTGAGTGTGTCAGACAGACAGACAGACAGACAGACAGACAGACAGACAGACAGACAGACATAAATTTAGATGAGACTTGTTTCGGCTTCTTTAATGTATAAAACGTAAAAATAACCTAAAAATGTATGATTCTGAGCAATGTACAGACAAAACTCTAATTTTATTTATATAGATAAAGCTAAATATTCGGGCGCATGTATTCTATTTTACATAGGAATTGTAAGGTTATATTTTTATAAAAACACAAATTATAACAAAATTTTATTTGTTTCAGATATTTTCTACAACAACTTCTACAAAAGAGGACAAGGTAAGAGTTGTAGTGTTAAGCCTTTTATTTATATTTTGACGTACCATGCCTAATGTCAATGAGAAATACGTGTTGAAAACTATTCTCTATTATCTAATGATAGTATACAGTCGAACCTTGATAACAATACTCTCATGGTGATTATAAAATAAGACCTGTTATCAAGTTTGTCTTCTTATCGAGGTTTGCAATAACATGTAATTAGGGGTTAAATAAATTATAGGGGATTAAAAATGACACTTGTTTCAAGGGTGACTTGTTATCCAGGGTCTTGTTATCGAGGTTCCACCGTAACATATAATAATATCATCCATATCAATAAAATTTGACGGTCATGTCTTAGGTAAATTGTTTCAATGAATGAACGTATTGCTAGAATGTAGCTAATTAACCGTGTGCGATTTTATTTACTCACAATGTAGTTTTGGATAAAGCGCCAGTTCTTATAATTATAGATGTTGATTCAAAGATCACTTAAATCTTATACGCTTGTTCTGCTCAATTTTCATAATACTATCTGTAGTTCAAACGTAGGAGGTTCGCCTAGTATATGCATCAAATGACTTAACTTTCAATGTTCATAAGGACCTTCAACTTTAAGACCTGCAGGATTTCAATTAGGTGGAAAGATAGGACTCTTTATGTCAGGAACTCGTTTCGTTAGTCATTGTTTCAACCTCGTAATAAAATATGTTCATAAAATAAAGTTTTGTTTTTAAATATCAGAGTTAAAACTGTGCTCAAATTTATAAAAATACCTGCCATAGTGAACCTGCCAACTAAGCTTATCCGCCAAATTTGTTAAACATATAACAATAAATAAGCAAACTGCAAAGGTTCAAGCGTATTCCCATCACATATTCAACAATGACAGTGGTAGCCCCGAAGGTGATGTTGTCAAATCAAATTTATCTGACCTCTACACTCTCTTAAGTAATAAAGCTTGATACATATCTAACAACGACGCAAGGGCGATGATTCAGTACTGTAGAAGCTTGACGTATCCAACATGGCGGTGTTTAAACATTTCCTCACACCAAACTATATAAAGCAGAAAGCATACAGAAACAGTATAAATATTTAGCTACACACTGAGTCAATACTTCAAAATTTAGTTTGCGAAAATGTAAAAAAGAAGATTAAAGAAGTTTATATTGAAAAGGTAATACAAAATGTACAGAAAACCTTTCCTAGAAGCGGTATAATAGTAAGAATAGTGCAAAGACTTGGTTAAACTAAAAATAATATCGTGTTAGCAAAAGAGACCCTTGTTTTCATTTTCCAAAAGCTTTTCTATACAGACCTTTGGCTCAAAGACAGTATTCCCTAGCTACGACTAGAAATTCGTCATAAGAAACTTCTTCTAAATAAAATAAAACTTTCCTGTATCTTTTAAGGTTATCTAACCAACAAAAATGTTTTATTTCTTATATTAAAACTTGTGTTTTTTTATTTACGGTTTATGAAAAGTATTTTTTCCAAATATTGTTTGCTATTGTTATAAAGAGTTGACTTTTTTAAAGAGTTGCAAACGTAATAAGATTTGAACTATATACTTAAACCTCAACTGCTAAATTTTAATTTAAAAACTAAAACACATAGGCCCTAAGGACTAATATATTTACTACGTAAAACACATAAGGTTGCTAACGTATTGTAAACACTGTTTGTTTAAATGTTGTGTTTAAATCTGCGTGCAATATTCACAATTTGAATTGGTAGGAATATTTCCTCAGACATTCAGTAAACTTTTAAACTGGGATTAAGTCCAAAAATCGTAGCTATTTAATTTATGAATCAAGTTTTACTTTACACCATCCATTTAGTTTACATTGTTATACACCCTAAAATGATAATTTATAGTAATTTTTTTATAACTACTTTAGGACGCTGAGAAGCAACTTATTACAACATAATTTGGGTTCCTGTATTAAAAAGAACTTTGAGCTAGAACAAGGAAAATAATGAAAAGAAAGTCAACAACTGGCAAGGAGTGTGTGTATGATAAGACAACTACTGACTATGGCACAAAATCACTGTAGGGTAAAAAAAATACTAGATAGAATTGTTAATCTTGAATAGTGAAGTATTCATAAATATTTAGTGTAGTTTGTATTTAAAAACAAACAACTTAACTTAATATTCCTCTCATTTTCTCTAAACCAAGTTAAAAGCCCATTAAATCCACAAAGAGCAATCAAACAGGGCTGAAATAAAAAAACCTGTAACCAATTGGAGCCGTATTGCTTATCTTAAAGAAGTAAAAAACAATTGAATGAATATACATTGTAAAAACATAAGTAATATTTTTTTTCTTTCAAGATGTCAAAATTTCCACATACGAAATTCTGTTTACTTACTAATATTGTTTTGATCTTTATCTTATAAAGGGTGTTCAAAAAAGGTGGGGACATAATTTACGTAGTGATTCTTTTTTTTTTATAAAGAGAAAATCAAGTATAACATTTTTTCTCAGAATTGCTTCGTTAACCAGATATCCGCCAATTTGTATTTTTTACATAAACATTCTTTATGAAAGTTTGTATGTATGTTAGGGTTAAAAATCCCGTTTTAGGAAAAAATCATCTTGATTCATCTCCAAATTTCAAAATGCCGGCTGTATAAATTTTTTAATCTTGAATTACACAGAAATGGGTAATTTAATGATAAGATTTAAAGAACACTTTATTTAGCATTTTTTATTCCTTCACTATCAACGATACCAAGTTCAAAAAGGTCAAATATGAAATAGCTTAAATTTTACGTTTTTAAGTTGTAAAATGAGGTACAATAAGGCAAATGCTAGGCAGGTTTGTCCTATTTTACAACTATAAATCGTAATTAAGTATTTTATTTAAAAATTGTGACGCAAGCCATGCATGTATATATGTTAACTGGAAATAGAGGAATATTTTATTTGATTTGATAATATTTAAGCTATTTCTTATTTGATTTTCCTCAACATTGTTTGATAGGGAATTAAAAATTCTAAATAAAAGTGTTCTTTAAACATTTTCATAAAATCTGCCATTTTTGTGCAATTTAAGTTTAAAATATTTAAATGGCCGCCATTTTGAAATTTTAAGTTTTTAGTTTTAAGTAGAACAGTAGAATCAAGATAATTTTTTTCTAACATGGGCCTCTTCTACCCTAACATACATACTAGGTTTCGTAAAGATCGGTTGAAAAAAATCAAAGATAAAAATGTTTATGTAACAAATTGCCAATATCTGGTTAACAAAGCGATAAAAAAAATTATATTTTATTTTCTCTTTAATTTGACCTAAGGGATCACCATCGATGTATAATAACTCTAAATCTGAGTTATTATACATCGACGAGAATTGTTTCATAATTAATGTCCCCACCTTTTTTGAACACTCTGTGTAACCAATTCAAATAAAAAGTCGTTCTGAAGTCTTTACATACATAAGTTTGAATAAGACAAAGATTTATGGTAAAAATATTCATTTATTATTTGGTATTGAAATTATAGCATTTTCCTACAAGTTAACACGTCTCTTAAATTAAAATTGACTAGTTTATTTAATTTACTAGAAGGAAAATGCCTTAATGGAACGAACGAAAAGGATATTACGGACATGCCTTTAAAACTGTAACACAATTAGAGAGCTTTTTAGATATATCAGCAATCCCATCAATGGCTCCTTTCAGGAGAGGGCCTTTTAAGGAAACAAAATCTTTTATTTCACTTCTTTTTGCTAAAACAACAAAAATTATACAGAAAATAATATCACTTTAAACAAGGGTAGGGAAACTAAATTGGAAAAAATATAATGAATACTTTTGTGTATATTTCCTATATTATAATTACCGGTATACTATTGTTAATAAATCACTTAATAAACTAATATTTAAAAAATGTGATATATTTACGTAAAATATCAACCAAAACAGACATGGACTAAGAATAATATAATTTACAAATTAAATTTCCCTTTAACAAACCTCTTAAAATGTCATAAAAGTTTAATTGAAAATTGCCATACCTTCTTCTATTGTTACATGACATTTAAAGAGGTTTGTTAAAGGGAAATTTCATTTGTAAATTATATTATTCTTAGTCCTGAAAGTTTTGGTCGATATTTAATGTAACTATATTATATGTTTTGTAATGTAACTTTATTAAGTGGTTTATTTTACAGTTTGACAAAAATGAACATGAAGAGAAAAATAATGTTATATCGTTGTTTTCGTGAAAATACATGTAAATGAATCTCGACATTATGCCATCGGATTGCCTAATCAATGTTATCATGATTTCACTATTAGTGTTTATTACAACTAAAGCCTGTAAAAAAATTACATGAAAAAATATTAAATCGAGTTTAAAATTAGGCTCTATCCATAAATAAACAAGATAATTGAAATCAGTATGGCTTTTTTAACAGCATAAAATAACGAGCAGATAGAATTGGCCGGACAATATTGAGAGAAATCATCAATAAATGTCGACGTTCAATGTTTACAGTTAACCCTTTTAAATCTTAACTGAACAAAACACTGACTAATCGCTGTACAACACCGTTAAAAATTGGATTGTCACAATGTGTTTGTTTGATTGTCATTGCAAACACTTCGTTACAATAAATAAAATATTACTCTTTGTAGCTTCTCTGTGTTAGGTTTTTTGAAATAATACTCCAATCTTATGATAAACACGCCATTTCCATTGTTGTAACAATCAGCTGTTCGAAATCATAGAAAGAGATGTACCAAACGTTTAGTTATGTACCATTCTCATTGAATAACCCTATAGTATTACTCCCATTAAGAATTTCTTTCCAATTTGGCTATATTTTACTTTACTTTGGCTGTTTGAAATTCAACCCAACATCGTAATATAATATTTAACCTACTATAAAAAAGGCCTATCATTTCCTGATTATTATGAGTCTAAAATAAAAAAAATAAATAAAAAAAAATACTGAAGCGATTAATTTTTTCATCATAGACAACCCTTATAAAAATATCTGTAC